CATCTTGGTATCTGCAGGATATACTTTGATATACTTTGACATAGCAGGTCCACAGCTCTGATTTACTCAGTCAAGTTGCTGAGAAAAGGTTAGCTGTCCCTAAAGGAAAGTCAATGCTGTTCAGTCTCTCTCAAGGAGGCATACTGTTGTCTTCATTTGCTGATTTCAAAACTTGCAAAGAAGTAATCTAGAAAATTATTGTATTCAATAATAGTGGTGTATTTTACTGTGCATGTTTCTAAAAACAAACACACACTGAGAAATCAAAAACACTTTTAAGGAAACAGCCCTGAAGATGAGACCACAGATTAAGGCAGTACAAAGGTTATACAGACACTAGAAATCCATCATTCCACAGTGTATAGTGCAGAAAGACTTTTACCCAGCAAGGATTCAGAATTCTGTGGGGAAAGAGGTATAAAATTTGCATTAATGTGAGGAATTCTAATCCCTTAGCAGCGATGAGACTAAAAATCTTTTTTTTTTTTGGAGAGGTTTTTACTATAGGGCGCATGCACTCACCAAAAAGACAGAGAGAGACAGAGAGATAGAAAGCGATAAATCACCCTCCAGGGGGGATGGCCACACCGCAATCGCTTTTCCTCTTGGGATCTTGGGTATGCATGCACATGCGCCTGGTGTGAGTTTAAGCCACCGGGTCCAGGACTTGAACTGTGGTCAACTACATGAGAGTTCAGTGACATAGCCATTACGCTAACTGCTGGTCCTGAGACTAAAAATCTTTAAAGACAAGAAAATAACAACTAAAAAATTAAAAAAATAAATTAAAAAGAAAGATGTTCAAGATTCTAAAATAAGCTACTGACATATGAAGTGTCCATAAATATAATAGTTACATACCCTGGTCAAAGACTCCCATGTAGTCTTTTAAAGTTATACTGAAATTTGGGGCTGGCAGGTGGCACAGTGGTTAAGCTGACTGCAGTATGAGTCCTGGACCTGGTGGCTTGCTTTCTCACTTTCCTTATCTCTCTCTCACTCTGTCACTCTCTGATTAGATAAATATATAGACAGACAGACAGTCAGATAAATAAATATGTAAGTTAGTTAGTTAAAGAATTCTTGTTTTGTGTGTGTGTGTGTGTTTTAGTGTTTTTCTTTTTTTTGGGGGGGGGTTTGAGAGGTTTTTGCTATAGGGCACATGCGCTCACCAGAAAGAGAGACAGAAAGTGAGAAATCCCCCCCCAGGGAGGATGGCCAAGCCGCAATCCCTTCTCCTCCACTCTCTTCTCAGGATCTTGGGCACGCACACGCACACTTGCCTGGTGTGAGTTTAAGCCACTGGGTCCAGGACTTAAACCACGGTTGACTACATGGGAGTCCAGTGACATAGCCATTATGCCAACTGCTGGTCCCCCAGTTAAAGAATTCTTTAAAAAAAAAATTATACTGAAATTCTCTAAGTATGATCTCATTTTTTCTTACTCTGGCACTTTAGGTTTGCAGCCATCTCTTTCCTCACTTTCAAAATCCATTCAAAATAACAGTATGGATTTTGAATTCATTAAAGCAGAAAATATGAGGCAAATTAGAAGAAACTAATGTTTAGTTTTAAGAGAACCATGGGGCCAGCAGTTAGTGTAATGGCTATGTCGCTGGACTCCCATGTAGTTGACTGCAGTTTGAGTCCTGGACCTGGTGGCTTAAACTCATGCCGAGCAAAGATCCTGAGAGGAGAATGAAGGGGAAGGGATTGTGGCATGGTCATGCCCCCTGGGGGGGCGATTTCTCGCTTTCTTTCTGTTTCTCTCAGTCTTTCTGGCAAGTGCACACGCCCTATAGCAAAAACCTCTCCCTCCCCCCCCAAAAAAAAGTTTTAAGAGATCCTAAAAATATGAGGAGGGATATGGGATGACTGTGACTTCACTGGCTAATGATCTCTTTTTCCTTTCCATAAATTTTTCATTTAGATTTGCGTTCATTGTAATATAGTAAAATTTCATTATAGAATATTTTGAAAAAATGTAATTCAGAATGCTGTCATTTCCAGCATTACCTTGCTAAATATTTTGGCATTATTTCCTCCTTTTGGCATTATCTCTTCCCCTTTCCCAAGAGGAAATCAGGAGGCATTTATAATTTTGTATACAAACATTTTATACACAAAATGTTTGTTTATTATACAAGCCATAAACAATTTCAGGTTGGTACATATTTTCCTAAATATTACTTTACTATTTTGCTAAATAAATTACTATAATTCATCTTATTTATTTTTTTAAAGAATTTTTATTTAACTTTATTCATTCATTTAATTTGACGAGAAAGACATACAGTGAGAGAGAGAGAGAGGGAAAGTTAGAAAGCAATCCACCAGGTCTAGGACTCAAACTGTGGTCAATCATGTGGGAGTGGTCCAGCGCCTTAACCATCACACCACCGGCTGGCTCCACAATTCATTTTATTCTAAGTTAATTTATTCAATAAAAAATTTAAGGTGGATCCATAATCATTCTGTTACATTTGGATAGACAAATCATTTATAAAGGTTTGCTATCAATGATATAGCAAGAGTTTCACGCACAGAACTAATATTTGGGGATATTTTATTAGGATTGATTCCAGAAAGTATGATCTTCTTTCAGAGGATACAGTAACTTTATTAAATTACTTCTTACAAAATGTGTTCCAATTTGCAAAGTCAACAGCCATGTGTAAAAGTGTCAGTTTAACTGTGTTCCCACCTGCACCAGGTATTAATATCTAAGAAAAAGGGAGGTGGAAATAAATAATATAAAAAAGAAAAAAAGAAAATGGGGGTGTGAAGGGATCAGCAGATGGCAAGGGAGTTTTATCTCTGGACTCCTACATCTGACAGAGTTCAAGTTCCAAACCTAGTGGCTTGAAACTCACAGTAGGGGTGTGTGTGTGTGTGTGTGTGTGTGTGTGTACACATGTGTGCCCAAGAACCCAAGAGAAGAATGGATTGTGATGTGGCCATCCCTCTAGTGGGGTGATTTCTCACTTTCCCTCTTGCCAGTGCACACGCCCTAGGACAAAAACCTCTAAAAAAAAAAAAAAAAAGAAGAAGAAGAAAGAAAGAAAGAGAAAGAAAAAGGAGGATGAGAGAGAACAATTGCCCAGTCAACAGTCTTTCATCAAATCAGAAGTCAGTCAAATTCAGTCTTAGACGACTTTGATTAAATCAAGCAAGTACCTGTTTCATTATTTTGAAAAGAGTGTGTCTCAAAGAATTAACAATAAGCATGTAACAATAATAGGGGCCTAATTAATGTTCACAGTTTGCTAAACCCAATCTTTCTGTCTACCTATTTTCTTTTGTGTACTCGAATACACAGCTTTCCTTCTTTCATACATTTTTTTCTTATCCACCAAGCCACACATCTTGCCAAGAGTATGCACTTAAAGGTGAATGAATGTACATCTTTGTAAATATGAGCCAGAGAAAGAGACAATACCCCGAAAAGGGTCCTGATACCATGATCTACCCCGAGTAAGCCCTGGATCATAGATGTGCACATGCTAGGTGCACTTAGAGAGGTCTCCAGATCCAAACCTAGAACCTTCCCGTATGGGTCAGCCTTGCAGAATTTTGTTATGTGCTTGCATGTGTGTTATCTATGAGATGATATGTTGTTTGTGTATTTATTTGTAAAAATATGTTATTGGGGGGCCAGAAGGTGGCATGGAGGTTAAGATGCTAGATCTCATATGGCAAGCTTCATGGTTCAAGTCCCAGACCTGGTGGCTTGAGAATCATGTTAGGCACTTCTGTGTGCATGCCCAAAATCCCAAAGGACAATACAGGAGAAGGGATTGCAATGTGGCCACTCCCCTTGGCGGGATGATTTCTCACTTTCCCTTGCTCCCTCTCTCTTTCTCTTGCAAGCATATGCACTTATAGCAAAAACTAAAACAAATGAAAAAAAGTTATTGTAAAAAAGTGAGGTCAAGGGGCCAGCAGGTGGTATAGTGATTAAAGTGCTGGACTTCCACATGGCTAACAGTGGTTCAGGTCCTGGACTCGCTGGCCTGAAACTCACATCGGACATGTGTGTGCATGCGCAAAATTCTGAGTGGAAAAAGGGATTGTGTCATGGCCATCCCCCCTGGGGGCTGATTTCTCACTTCCTCTCTCTTTATCTCTGTCTGTCTCTCCAGCAAGTGCATGCAGCCTTTAAAGTGAGGTCAGGACAAGCTAACATGGTATGTGAAAATAATTAAAAATATGCACATAATTTACTTGTTATTCTTTGCTTATTTATTTACTGGGGTCTCTGTTTTTCTCTTAGCAATGTATATACATAAAAATAAAACTCTTATGCCCTATTTCCTTCCTATTGGCCATCTTTTATAAATGTGAAACTTAATGATTTTCTGTGTTTCCATCCTCTAACTTTAGGCTAAATCTGCTTCTCATTTAGACCCTAGTTTCCCAAGAACAGCGATGAAGGATAGATGGCCATGGCCTTCTTGACAGTGGCCTCAAGCAAAGCTGAGTCTTCATTATAGGTCCATCTCAAATCTTGGGCAATTCTAAAAGTAACCTGGGTTCAGGGATATAGAATAGTGTGGAGGTTCAGGTTCCTGCCCAGGTAAGCTGGAAGTCCAAACTACCCACACTCTTAATAGAAAGGAAAAACCACAATGGACAAGAATTCAGACTGGATTGTGATAAGACCACGTGGGTGGGCTACAGGGCTACCTGGTACATCTAGTAGGTCTCTGGGCCCCTGGCAGACTGCCTTAGACTGTAACTCACAGCTGGGTCTCCCCTTCAGCCAACAGCCTCTGACAGGCCTAGATTATCTAGACTGGACACTTCCTATGAAGAACCACATCTCAGAACAACTGCACATGCCCTGAGAGTTGCTAGCATGTTACACCACGTCAGTAAGAAATGGCAAGCCTTCTGCCTTTCATTTCAGTATATACATTACAGTGGAGAAGCTGGAGAACTTGGGTTTTTGTATTTGTATGAAGGGGAATGTCTGAAGAAATGAAGGACTAGCACGTACCTGATTTCGAAGAGGCTGCTGTTGTGATGGCCGGTCCCTGTGTGTGTGGCTTTCTCGAGTTATTGCAGATGCACCAGAATCTACATGAACTGACCCTACAGGAGTAGGCTAGAAATAAGAAACAGAAAGTCAAATGAGGAACGAGTTCTAATGTTAGCTCTGCAAGACAGCACTGCTCTAATTCTAAACCTCTAATACAGTGGTGATAATTATTTTCAGCTACCAAGAGCAGTTTCAAGAGTCACTGTCTTCTCTGTTTGCTCATCTGAAAAAAAAGGAGATACCTAGGTCCTCAACAGTTCACTGGAGAGTAGCTTACTTTTGAAAATAAAAACTCACCCTACAGCAATATCTGTTAGCATACTACTGACTCTATGGAACCTTGGCCAGAGCTGTGAACCTCAAAATTGCTTATGATGCTGGGTTCATCTCCTATAGAAGTCAAGCACCTTCACAGTGGACATAGGACCAATTTTTATTTCCAGTTTGTAAGTATATGTGTGCACTCACCAGAGGGAGAGGAAGAGAGACAGACAAAGCACTCCCATAGGATAAGGTCATGCCACAATCCCTGCTCTTGCATCTCTTTCTTCTTTAGGGATTTTGGGCATATACACATGCATCCAGCATGTGTTTCAAGCTGCTGGGTCCAGTACTCAAACTATGCAGTCGGCCATGTGGGATCCAGCTGTCTTAACCACCATGTCACTGACTGGCCCACAGAAAGAACTTCTAAATGATTCAAACAAAACTTCAGAAAACATGGGCTTAGGCTCCCCATAGCACAATGGTCAATAACTTAGTGAACTGAAAGCCGGATCCCACATGGCTGACTATGATTCAAATCTAGGCCCCACTGGCTTGAAAAACCTGCTTGGTTCATGTGCTCATGTGCCCAACTCCTGATGGAATGGAGAAACGAGGAAACAGGATTGTGGCCTGACCATAACCCATGGGGGCTGCTTTGTCTCTCTCCTGTGACAGCACATACCCTCTGGCAATTAAAGAAAAAAAAAATGTAACTAGTTTAAATTCTGGCATCTTAAGACATACAAGTTGCAATCTTTTTTTTTTTTTTTTTTTTTGAGAGTTTTTTCCTGTTATAGGGCACAAGTGCTCACCAGAGAAACAGAGAGAGAGAAACCCCAGAAAGCCAAGAAATCGCCCCTTCCCTCCTGGGGGATGGCCACAGCACAATTGCTTCTCCTCCATTCTCCCCGGGATTTTGGGCATGTACACACATGCACCCGGTGTGAGTTTCAAGCTGCCAGGTCTGGGACTTGAACTATGGTCAGCCATATAGGAGTCCAGCAATGTAACTGCTGGTCCCCAAACCACAGTCTTAAAGACATATAACTCCTGACTCCTAACTCTAATGAGAGCAACCTTTGGCATAACCCTAAACAAGTCGTAAATGTAAAGTCTATAACAAAAGGAATGTTTTATTTCCAAGATTTAGGAAAGAAGACTAGCAAAGTAAGGGTGTGGAGGACTGGAATCTGAAAAGGGAGATGATAAGGTAGGAAGAGAATACTTACAATAGGCCTCCCGACCCAGTCATAGGCATAGTCAAAGGTGTAGCCTTTCCTTTCAAAGAGGTCTGTGAAGAGGGTTCGTAAATACTCGTAGTCAGGTTTTTCAAAGAAGTCTAATCGCCTGACATATCGAAGGTAGGTTGCCATCTCCTCTGTTAGGAAAGAGGTATGAGGCCATGATCATTAGTTGAAAGATGCCCATGGGGAAGCTTTGGGCCACACAAATTTCTACAGACTATTTGACACTAGTGTTTATACATGGACCAAATGAAAGTGATAAAAACCTACCTTGAACTGAGTAACAGGACAAGGAAATATAAATGAGCTGGACAGTATCCTTACCTACAGACACCAAACTACAGAATTCACCTACTTAGCTTCCTACCTGGAAAGTTCTCACAGAGAGCTTCAATAGGAGTATTCCTTTTGGTGTCACCAATTTTTTGATACCTTTCTTTTAATGTATCAGCCTGTAGAAAGTAAAAGAGAGAAAGTTTATCTGTAAGGAGGTGCTAAATATGGAAGGTTCAATGTTTTTTAACACAATAATTATCTCACTCAAATTGGCAAAATATGTTAGATGGTCTCAACTTTTTTCTCTCTAACACTAACAAATAAGAAATGTATGGAGCCAGCAGGTGGTGTGGTGCTCAAAGCACTGAATTCCTACATGGACAACTGTGGTTCTAGTCCTCGATCTGGCAGCTTAAAAATCATGCAGGGCATGTGTGTGTGCGCCCAAAATCCAGAGAAGAAACCTGAGAAGGGGTTGCAGTGTGGCCATGCTCCCTGGGGAATTGAGTTCTCACTTTTTCTCTCTGTTTCTGTCTGTCTCTCTCTGGAGAACGAAGTGCCCTATGCACTCTCCCCACAAGAAAAAAAAAAATACAGATGATGTACTTAGATATATACAAACATCTACTGTGATGCAGACAGTTTTACTTGCAAATATACTAAGTACACTCAGATAAACAGCATCAAATACAGCAAAATGAATGGCTAAGAAAGTAAAAATATATGTAGCAATATTTTCAAAATTGCAGCAGCTCAGTAATCCCCAGTGGCCGTTAGTTTATTAGCGATTCAGCCTTCTTCCTCTTAGATCAGTGCTAAGATAGAATGTGAGATGCCAGCAGGTGGCATGGTGGTTAAAGGTGCTGGACTCCCACATGGCCAACTGCGGTTCAAGTCCCAGACCTTGTGGCTTAAACTCACGCCAGGCGCATGTGTGTGTGTGCCCAAGATCCTGAGAGGAGGATGGAGGAGAAGGGATTGTGGCATGGCCCTCCCCCTTGGAGGCGGGGAGGGGATGAATTCTCACTTTCTGTCTCTCTGGCTAGCGCACGTGCCCTATAGCAAAAACCTCTCAAAAAACAAACAAACAGATTCATGAACCATGAGAGAGTTACAAGCCATAATAATACATTGGTATCAGCAGATGTTGTAATGGTTACACCAATGGACTCCCATGCAGTTGACGATAGTTAAGAGTCCTGGATTCAACAGTTTAAATCTCACACCAGGCACGTATGTGCACGTGCCCAAAATCCCAAGACGGGAATGAAGGAGAAAGAGAAGGGATTGTAGTGTGACCATTCCCCCGCCTCTTGGGGCAGGGGGTTCTCACTTTCTGTCTCTGTCTCTCTCTCTCTCTGTTAAGCACACATGGCCTACAGCAAAAATCTCTTAAAAAATGACAATACACTAAGGTACTATCTGGCCATATGATGGGCTAATAGGAGGTGAGACACTGCTGGGCAGCTTTCATTGTCAATGAGAAGATGTATACGACTGACCAGGACAAGACCATGCAGGAGATGACAGGAGAGGAATTTAAGGGCAAAGAAATAAAATCTTCTCAATTGGAATGGGTAGAGGCTTACTTTTTAAGACAGTGTCCTAGAAAGCACAACAAAATGATTCATCCTACCCTTCTGGAGGGAACAGGTGAAGTACCTGACATTTCTTTCCATGTTATCATATTGATATAAATTTCAAATAAAAAATATGCCTCACACTTACATATCTAATGGGACTTGGGATAGGCAGAAGCTCACCACTTCCTAGTCTCACAGCCAGAGGCACAGAGTAATCATAATGCTTGTAATTATAATTAATGCTAACCCTTGACTTGTAGGCACTATACTGACGTCTACGTAAGCTACACATCTTACAGAGAATGGCTGTATTACTTGAATAGGCCTTTATTCAGTGATACACTTGGACAGCTACATTAAACCTGGATTTTCATTTCAGCTCAGGTGGGCCCTTAGTTTACACAGAATGAACAAGTACTTTCCAGTTCTCCCTAGGGTAACGCCCTGCTGGTTTATCTGGTGAAATGTGTAGCAGCTGCTGTCATCAATTTGTTCCAGAAATTCCCCGGCACACTGGGAACATTCCTCCTGCGACATGATGGTAGTGGAGGAGGAGGAGCGACAGGGAGAGAAAAGCAGCACTGCCAAGACTGGGAGGGAACCAGGGAAAAGACAAATTGAACACATCAGGGCTTCCAAAGGCCAGGTGAGCATTTGCAATGTGGACTAATGTAACTGTCCCTGCCTCTCTTCTCCGTAGCCAGCCTTCTCCTTTGTGCTTCTTAGAGACATCAGCCAGCAGCCCCTTCATTAACAACCGAGCAGCGAGACAAAGCCCTCCACTGAGCGCTTTCAAGGATACCTTGAGTCCTTGCCAGGGTAGGCTGCCACGGAGGAAATACATGAACATATGGCCTAGGGCTTCCAAATCATCTCGCCGGCTTTGCTCTAAAAGGGAAGACAGATCACACATTATGTTTGTAGTTATTAAGGCAGAAAAGGGTTCAAAACTGAGTAATCCTTTCAGAAACCCTGCTCTGGAAAGGCTCTGCTTACTAATTCTGTGTATGTCTAAACGAGGGGTACTATTTTAGATCAAAACCAAGAAACAGTGTGTACCTTCTCTGCTTAGATCTGTTGCTAGCAAGTGAGTATCAAGTGGGAGAGCAAACCCTAGCCCAGCTGCAGTGGTGCAAGCAGAAAGCGCCACTGCATGAGCCTGGGGCCACATACACCTAGGTCCCAGTTCAGTTCTTAGGTGACCTACACAGGCTGGCTGCTGCAAGTGCCTGTGGTCCTAGCTAACTGGGAGGCTGAGGCAGGAGACAGTGTCAAAAATACATCTTTCTCATTTAAAAGAAAAAAAAAGGGGACACTGGTCCTGCAGCCTAGTGGTTAAGAGGGCTGGATTCCACATGGCTGACTGTGCAGTTTGAATTCTGGCCCCAGTGGCTTGAAAAACACACCAGACTATGTGTGTGCATGCCCAAAATCCTGACATGATGGAGAAATGGAAATGGGATTGTGGCATGCCCGTGCACCACTGTGAGGTGCTTTCTCCTTCTACCCTATCTGTCTCTCTCTGGAAAGCATACATACCCTTCTGGGAATTAAAAAGAAAAACAAAAAAGCTTAAAGTAGAACTAAACCTAAATCACTAAATAATCACCCTTACTCAATGCTATCACCTTCCTGAAAGTGGGTAATTTAAATGAAATGCTATTTCCAGTACGTGGCCTATAATTATCCTTTGGTTACCACCAGGGAAAGTGAAGAGCAGATTAGCAGCTGAAGTTGTTAAAACAGTCCATTCTGGCTAGACCTGTAAAGATATAAGCTGTGGAAAGCCTAGTATACATGCTTATGCTTTTAATTAATCATAAAAATTAAAACAAAACTCAGTTTCATAAAAGCAAACGTCAGTGCATAATCTCTAGATTCACATTTTATTTATGCTATGTCCCATAACCAACTTAAGAAAGCTAAAAAATTATTGCTAAAGTGCTCTTCATGGGCTCATGAAAGACATGGGCTCATGAAAGAGCTCCTGCATTCTGGGAGCTTAGAAGTTGACAGGTTTTCTTTCCTTTTAATTGGGAAGATGAACATGGTAAAAACAAACAAACAAAAAACTACAGAGAAGTTAATAAAAAATTACAATTTCATGTCAGGAAACATCCTATACCTTTGTTTTCAGACTGAATATAAGTAGCATGTACCTCCATTTTTAATTTGCCAATTACAGTATGTTTCAGACATTTCATGTGCTTACTTTCAGAATCAAATTTAGGCCTCTATCAAAAGAAATTACAGAAGCAAGACTATCTGCAACTTGACTACTTTATTGCGGCTGTAAGTAAAACCTGGCTGGGACCAGCAGAGGGCATAATGGTTATGTCGCTGAACTCCCACGTAGTTGACTGTGGTTTGAGTCATGGAGTTGGCAGCTTAAAACTCATGCCAGGCATGTGTGCATCCACGCCCAAGAGCCCCAAAGGAGAATGGAGAAGAAGGGATCATGGCATAACCATCCCCCCTGGGGAGTGATTTCTCACTTTCTATCTTTCTTTGTCTCTCTGGTAAGCACACATGCCCTATAGCGTAAAACAAACAAACTAACTCTCTCAAAAAAAAAGTAAAAAAAGAAAGTACACTACAGGATAAATTAAGAAAGGAAAGACAACTCTCTAAGTAACAGTTTAAAGAAAGGTGGTCATGGGAACCAGCAGTTAGCATAATGGCTATGTGGCTGGACTCCCATGTAGTTGACCGCAGTTCGCGTCCCTGACCCGGTGGCTTAAAACTCACACCGGGCATGTGTGCGTGCGTGCCCAAGATCCCGAGAGGAGAATGGAGGAGAAGGGATTGTGGTGTGACCATCCCCCCTGGGGGATGATTTCTCGCTTTCTGTCTCTATGTCTCTCTCTGTCTGTCTGGCGAGCGCATGCGCCCTATAGCGAAAAAAAAACTCTCCAAAAAAAAAAAAAAAAAAAAATAGGTGGTCCTTAATGGGAAGGGACATACTCTGACAGAGAGGAAAATAACCTAAAACTGAGTGATGCACACCAATTGAAATCATCTTTAAAGGAATGAAATAAAACATCAAGACCAGGGCCAGCAGGTGGCGTGGTGGTAAGGGCATTGGATTCCACACAGCCAACTCCATGGTTCGAGTCCTGGACCAGTGGCTTGAAACACATGCTGAGTGTATGGGTATGCATGTCCCAAATCCCAAGAAGTGACTGGAGGAGAAAGAACTGCGGTGTTGGGGACATTTCTTACCACCTGCAACTCACCCACCCCCTGTGCATGTCCCCATGGCAAAAATTTAAACCCAAACTAACAAAATCCTCCCTCCCCCCCAAGAAAAAAACTCCGGCAAGACCAACAGAAGCTTTGGTCTACATGGCTTCTCTAAAATTTATAATAAAATGTATATAATTGAAATTTTAAAAATTAGACAAAACGTTTGTTAACAGATCCTAAAGATATACAAATGAAACACAGAATAAGAAGTGTGAGTTGAGGCTTTCCACGAGGCAGGGCAGATAGAAAAACCACACTCTGCAGTTTCTCACACTGCACTACACCTACTCATCGCCTATTTTAATATCTACTTCCTGTAACAAGAGGCCCCAAGGCAATAAAAATTTCACAGGCTCAACTGCTAAATTTTACTTGAGCACTAGAGGGCGAAGCTCTCCACATTTTCAGTATTGATCAGGACTACAGAAAAAAGATTTCACGGCAAAGTCAGTTATAAAATATTTTTTTAAATTTACAACCCAGCTTTGCCCCATGGCCTAGTACTTAAGAGAGCTTACAAGGCTGACCGTGATTCAAATCTAGCCTCAGCAGCTTGAAAAGCATGCCAGGTAGACGCGTGTGCGTGCCCAAGATCCCAAGAGGGAGAAATGGAAAAGGGATTGCCACGTGACCATGCCACACTGGGTTGCTTGTTCCTCTTTCTACCCGTCTGGAGAGAGCTCATACTCTTTGGCAATTAAAAGAAAAAAAGGATGAAGTAATAAAGTAACATCAAGTACTGATTGGAAAACAGCTATGGAATATGGACAGAAGGAAAAATGCTCCCTAAGACATGTCAATGACCTAGGACTTGGCTTATCCTTTCTATTAATTTAAGTCAGTTAAATTGAGCACGGCTGAGTCATCAACTTTGAGTTGCAGTTTCCTAATCTGAAAATAAAGTTGTTGACTTAGATTATGTGAGAGGCCATTTCCCAGCTCTAAAATTTTAAAAGAATGAATAATAACTTAAGCTACTAGGGCCTTTCAAAAAAATAATGTCTGAAAACCAGAACACCTTTGTTTTGAAGAACTTATTTTTCCGTTTATTTAAAATATATAAACGTAACAGCTGTTCCCAATGAGTCCTGCTGAGAAATCCAATGCAGAACACTCTACCCTAGAGATTTATTGCTTTTATTAGTTAGACACATGGTAGGTGTAGTTTGGAGATCCTTTTGGCTTTTATTTACAAGCCAGAGGGGATGTTCACTAGCCAGGGAGAACAGAGAGAGGGAGAAATCACTCAAAGGCTGTGGCCACGCCACAATCCCTTCTCCATTTGTCCATCTTGTCAGGATTTGGGGCATGTATATACACACACCTAGCTTGTTTTTCAAGCTGCTTGAGCCAGGAGGATTCAAACTGCGGTTGGCTCTATGTGATTAAATTCCTTAACCCCTAGGCTGAGGGACTGCGGGACTGGCCTGGGGAATCTTTCTAATTTATGTCCTATATAATAATTTTTGATGACTCTAAAATGAATTTTCCTAACTTAAGTATATTCTTCAAAGCAAGTTATGTCAGTCTGTTGGTTACCTGCCTAATATTCACTCTCCTCCCTCTTCCTTAATATCAGAAATTCTCAGGACCAGCAGATGGCATAGCAGTTATATTGCCAGACTCCCACATGGCCAACTGTAGTTTGAGTCCTGGCCCTGGTAGCTTGAAACTCACACTGGGCGCATATCTGTATGTGCCCAAGATCCTGGGAGGTGAATCCTGGGAGGTGAATGGAGGAGAAGGGATTGATGTGACCATCACCCCTGGGGGTGATTTCTCACTGTCCCTCTCACTGTCTTGGTCTCTCTCCTTCTGGTGAGCACATGCACCCTAAGACAAAAACCTCTACAAAAAAAGAAAGAAAGAAAGAAAGAAAGAAAGAAAGAAAGTCAGGACTTCTCATTTTTGCAAATAGCAACTTTCCCGCTGTAACTCCCTAGCATCCCTTAATAACAGAAATGATCATGAAATAGAAGCAGAAATCACTGCCAAGAAACTAAGCATCTGGAAACATACGTAAAGATCAAGTAGACAGTGGGATACTATGGACAGTCACTAACTTACCATCTCAACCTCTCAAGTGTAAATGCCTTACTTGGCAAAGCATGACAACCACAAGCTGTGGTGCACAATGGAGATGAAAGTGTTACTGGAATAAAAGTTGTTCTAATGACCTGGCCCTTTCACGGAACAGAAAATAAACACACCTTTGCCAAGATGCGTGTTGATAGACATATATCTTGCAGTTCCAGTTAGACTTTTGTGCTCCCTATAAGGTATGTGTTTTTTGGTTTCAGGGTCAATGTATTCCTTGGCCAGTCCAAAGTCTATAATGTGTATGACATGCTCTTTCTTATTGCCTTGTCGGCCAATCAGGAAGTTCTCTGGCTTGACATCTCGGTAAATGAGATTCTTTGAGTGCACATATTCCATTCGAGAAAGCTAGAAGAGAAAAATAAAATTATAAAAATACTGTAAAGAAATACATTGGGAAATTATACCAAAACATTTTTTCAGTCCAAGGTTTTCATTCCTAAAATAAAAATAAAAGTCATGTACTTCAACACCCAGAGTCACTTTACAGTCTTGTAAACCAAAAGTATTTTCAATTTATAAATATATACATAACAAATATGAAGATTAGGAAAATAAAGTGAATAGTACAGTCCAAATAATACAATTTTTACATGATAATGTCATAATTTGTAAATGACAAATAGGTTAGTTTTGTTGTTTTTTTCAGTGCTACTTTAGAAAGTAAATGTCTGGGAGAAAAAGTGTTCTCAGGTAGGAGACTGGACTGTCAGCGGCCTCTGAGACAGTTGCCATTGCCACACTTGCCTCTTGTCCCCATCTTTATATCCTTAGTTGGTCAAGGTGCCCTAATCCAGCTCTCACTGCTTTTGAAATAAGGAAAGTGAGGCCCAGAGAAGTTACCTCTGGCCTGATATCACATAGCTAGTTTGTACAGACAGGACTGCAGTTTTTCTGTTAACATAAATAGAACCCAAAATAAAAGTAAATTTTTTTTTGAGAAAAATATTTTTGCTATAGGGCATGTGTGCTCACCGAGAGACAGAGAAAGAGATGGACAGACAGAAAACAAGAGATCACCCCCCAAGGGGATGGCCAGGTCACAATCCCTTCTCCTCCAATCTCCTCCTAGGATTTTGGGCACACACGCACACACACCCAGCGTGAGTTTGAAGTCTCTGGGTCTGGGACTTGAACTGCAGTTGGTCATGTGGGAGTCCAGCGACGTAACCATTACGCTGTCTGCTGGTCCTAATGAAATTATTTCAAGTTTCATTACATATTTCTATGTATAAAGCTTTTCTATTATTCATTATAGAAAAGAGAATCTCAGACATCTGAATTTTGGGCACAAAATTCAAAGTCAATTTTCCAACAAAAATTTTACTGTACACTGGGTGAGACCCCTGCCATGGCAAACAAAGGTGCATCTTCCGTATTGTGTCCTTCCCGTAAGGGGCTGACAAGTGTCTCAAAGGAGACTGACTACTCCTTAAGCTGTCTCAGTGTATAATTTCATGGGAGGTTTAATAGCTGCTGCCTCTACAGCTGTATGAGGCCCTGTGAATACTGGAGGCCAGAGAACTAAGGCAAATTCTTGGAATCTGAGCATACTTTGGAAACTGACTTGTTAGTGCAGAGGGTTAGTTCTCCGGTCTTTCTTTGGATGCATCTGGAAAGGGAAAGGGAAGACATGACAAAACCTTTCAGCTACATATTTAAAACCTATAAATAAAACACAGAAGAAACTATTTGCATGTGTACATCCTCACCTAATCATTCTTTTTCTCTCTTAATCTAAATTATATGCTTCACTTCAGTTAAGGGAATGGTATTGCTCCAAGGTGCAAATTCTTAAAATAGAGCAAACTACAGATGCAGTGTGACTCCTCTGAGTTAACCTTTTCTGTCCCGCCATCACCCTAGAATGCTGTCAAATCTGTAAGTGCTAATAATTCTCCAGGTGTTGCTAAAGCTAGTAAATCACCAAAGGCATACAAGAATATGGTTCAGGATGCCCGATCGTCTCCCAGACAGCAACACTAACTTACCAACTGGATGGCTATCATTAATACAGTCTTCAAGGTAAATGTTCGGTCACAGAGGTCAAACAAGTCCTCCAAGCTAGGGCCAAGGAGCTCCAACACCATGGCATTATATTTCCCACATGGTCCAAAGTAATACACCTGTGGGAGACCTTCACCTGAAAGCAGAGAGGATAAGGGGAACAGATTGGGAGACAAACAAAACAAAACAAAACAAACAAACAAACAAAAACAACATAATGTGAGCCAACTGCATTAGCACTGAGTAAGATATAAAGAAAGTACAATTTGTGAGATTTCCCTTTTCTTTCATAGTGCCTCCTGGAAAACTTAAATTGAGTGCAATAGCTTCAGTGGGAACTAATAATGGGTGGGAAAGGCTAAGTCATTGCACAGTATGTTCAAATAAGCAGTTACTTAATACCAAAGTGCTAAAGGCATTTCCACTACACTACTAAGTCAGAGAATGGTCCCTGATCCATTACTGGACTGGAGTGTAAACTATTCTTCCCAAAGGATGCCTGAAAGTGCAGTGCCATAAAAGGTTCAAAGGATGGCTCACTGAGCTCAAAGGCCAGGCTAATAGGCCCTGCTGCATTAGCTGGTTTCATTAGCACTCTCTATGCTTACTGCTAAAGCCACATGGAGCTGTTTCAAACTGCTGCCCCACAGAGAAGGCAACTGAAGGGGCAAGGTCACAGAGGGTACAGTCTGGCCCCAGGCCAGCACAATTGGCCTTCTTTTCACAGGAATTCCCTGTAGTTTTCTGGTTTCTGTCAGTTGGAAAAAGGTCAATGGACACTTAGTGTTTGGCTGATGCTAAATAATTATAAAAAGGAAAAAGGGAAAAAAAAAATACAAGACCGAGTTTTCCCCAGACTTGAAATTCATAGCATAACAAGTCAAAATATAGACTTTATTTTTTCAAAAAACCTAAATAGCAACTTTTAAATCAATTTCCTTCCTAAAGTACATTGTAGGGACCAGTAGATGGTGTAATAGTTACATCATTGGACTCCCACGTAGTCAACCATGGTTTGGGTCTCAGACCCAGCAGCTTAAAACTCACACCAGGCATGTGTGCATGCACGTCCAAAAATTCTGAGAGAATGAAGGAAAAGTGACAGCAGCTTGGTCATAGCCCTGAGAGGTGATTTCTCACTTTCTGTCTGTCTCTCTGGTGAGAGTATGCGCCCTATAGCAAAATTCTCTCTTTCAAAAAATTAAGTACGTTATAAATATGAAGAATTCAGTAAATATGTACAATATTAACTCGTAGCATAAAAACTGGATGTTAATGAGAATATAGAAGACTTATTTTTTTTGAGAGAGAGAGAGAGAATTTTGTTATAGGGCATTTGCGCTTGCCAGAGAGACAGAAAGAAAGAAATTACCCTCTGGGGGATGGCCACGACTCAATCCTTTCTCATCCATTCTCCTCTTGGGACTTTGGGCATGCACGCACACATATGGGGTGTGAGTTTCAAGCTGCTGAGTCCGGGACTCAAACCGCAGTCGGTCCTGTGGGAGTCCAGCAACATAATCATTACTCTGTCTGCTGGTCCCACAGAAGACTTTTTAAAGAACCTGGTCTCATAGAGCAGGAACATTTCCAACGTACATATTTATGTGTACCATGGTGTAGAGGGTACACATACACTGTGGATTACTGCCTACGTCTGTCTCTACGCTTTTTAGATAACGAAAGTTTCTCCGTCTTCCCATTCCCGCTTTATTTGTATGGGTCAGACAGAGGCAGGGGTGATATGTACCTAATACGTCCTTCTTTCCAGGGCAGGTCTTGTCTATCCAGAGTTAATGTGATTCATCACTGTAACATGTACATAATGCTGTAGTACTTTATGCACAGTATTTGTCTATCATGTTCCACTTTTCCCCTTTATTCATAATACGTGTGTGTATGTGTGTGTGTGTGTGAGTGTGTGTATGAAAGAGCAAGAGAGATAGAGAGAGAAAGGCCTTTGTCACCAGGTCCAGTCACATTGCCATCCCCTTCTGGAATCCAGTCAGATCTTGGCACGTGTGCATGTGCCTGGAGTGTCTCAGGCCAACTGCTGGCGGTTAAAACCAAGGTCACTAAGCGGGATCCAGCTCCTCCTGAGCAGTGCGTGACTACTGTGCCATGGAGCCTAGCTAGTACCAATGAAGACAGTATATTCTGCTCTTGCTCAGCTCAATCAATTTCCTTCGTAGTTGTTCTGATTCTCCCAATTTCCAAAGAAAATAGGATTTAATTCGAGGTGTCTTTTTTCCCTGTTGTTTTGAAGAACTTATTTTTCCGTTTATTTAAAATATATAAACGTAACAGCTGTTCCCAATGAGTCCTGCTGAGAAATCCAATGCAGAACACTCTACCCTAGAGATTTATTGCTTTTATTAGTTAGACACATGGTAGGTGTAGTTTGGAGATCCTTTTGGCTTTTATTTACAAGCCAGAGGGGATGTTCACTAGCCAGGGAGAACAGAGAGAGGGAGAAATCACTCAAAGGCTGTGGCCACGCCACAATCCCTTCTCCATCTGTCCATCTTGTCAGGATTTGGGGCATGTATATACACATGCCTAGCTTGTTTTTCAAGCTGCTTGAGCCAGGAGGATTCAAACTGCGGTTGGCTATATGCGATTAAATTCCTTAACCCCCTAGGCTGAGGGACTGCGGGACTGGCCTGGGGAATCTTTCTAATTTATGTCCTATATAATAATTTTTGACGACTCTAAAATGAATTTTCCTAACATAAATATATTCTTCAAAGCAAGTTATGTCAGTTGCATATCTGTACACGCCCAAGATCCTGGGAGGAGAATGGAGATTGATGTGACCATAACCCCTGGGGGTGATTTCTCACTTTCCCTCTCACTTTCTTGGTCTCTCTCTCTTTTGGCGAGCACATGCATCGTAAGACAAAAACCTCTACCAAAAAAGAAAGAAAGAAAATCAGGACTTCTCATTTTTGCAAATAGCAACTATCCTGCTGTAACTTTCTAGCCTCCCTTAAACAATAGGAATGATCAATGAAATGAAAGCAGAAATCACTGGGTGGGGTGCTTCTAACAAAAGCCTGTCAAAGGAGCTGCCATAAGTGAGAGGTGTGACCCTGAGGAGGTAGGACAGCCCTAAGATCGGATAGAGCAGACAAGGGAAGAAGCTGAATCCCCATGGCTATGGAGTAATAGCACCAATGCTGGGCTTCCCTTCCCTCTAGATTTTTTTATCTGATGGAAAAATCAAACTCCACCTTCACTGAGCTGTTCCTTGGTTTTTATTTTATTTAGACAGGGCCTTGCTATCATGATGCTCCTGGTCTCAGATTTCTGAGCTGCTAGGACTAAAGGTGTGAACCACTATGTCTGGACTTGAGGGTGGGATGAGAACGGACCCTCGGTCTCCTCACACTGCCCAGTAAGGGCATTTCCCAGGGTGCACTACCACAGCTGGGTCTGGATTTTTTCTTTTTTCTGGAGAGGTTTTTGCTATAGGACGCATGCACTCGTCAGAAAGACAGAGAGAGACAGAGAGATAGAAAGCAAGAAATCACCCCCCAGGGGGGACGGCCATGCCGCAATCCCTTCTCCTCCATTCTCCTCTCGGGATCTTGGGCATGCACGCAAACATGCCCGGCGTGAGTTTAAGCCACCAGGTCTGGGACTCGAACCGTGGTCAACTACATGGGAGTCCCGTGACATAGCCATTATGCTAACTGATGGTCCCCTGGATTTTTTTCTTAAATAGCCGAATTTAATCCTAATTAATAAAAACATTATTTCTTTAGTTGGTTAAAGTAAAATCTGTATACAATCTCCTCTTCCTAAAGCACAAGCTAAAAGCCAGGCATGCTTGAAAACATAATATTGGCATAATTTCCTAGACTTGTTGCCAATACTTAAGGGTCAGCTGAAATGAGAAAAATAATCTTCTTCTTGACAATCTTTAGAAACAAACATAGGCATCTCTAGTCAGAAGTTTCCATATTTACAAAGAAATCACAAAATCATTTTGGGTTTGGGTATGTCTAATTCTTAACTACGTCACTCCTAACTAGGAACTTCAAAAAACGAAGAGTTCCTGCTTGCTGCATTATTGTTTTTATCAGGTACTGCAAAACCTCATAACACCCTGGCAGGCTTCAGGATACTCAAAATAATGTCTAGACCTCTGAGTGGTTTTGAAGCATTTCTGGGAGAGGGATTAGGTCCAAGATTCTAGTGTAGAAAGAGCTCAAACCAGAATCTTTAGTCAGGTATCTGCTTCTGCTACCAGCTCGAGCAAATTCCACTCCCTCTGGGTTAGCGTCTTCATTTGTAAAGAGGATAGATTGAGACCAGTTCCTCCTTTTATTTATTTATTCATCAATAAAATCAGATTGACTGATTTAAGGTCTTTGCCATAGGGTATGTGCACTTGTCAGAAACAGAGTGAAAGTGAGAAATCACCCCCATGGGGGATAGCCACACTGCAATCCCTTTTCCACCATTCTCCTGGGATTTTGGACACCCACATGCACGCACACACCCGGTGTGGTTTTCAAGCCACCAGGTCCCAGACTAGAGTAACAGTAATAGTCGGCCATGTAGGAGTCTAATGCCTTAACCACCATGCCACCTGCTGGCCCCAGGACTGGTTCTTTTTATATCCAAATTCTGATTATGGCTAAGACATCCTTCTAGTCACCTTGTAGGTTCTTCTCCTTAAAGCCACAGGACCAGTATGAGGCTGGCAGGTGGCATGGTGGTTAGGGATGCTGGACTCCCACATGGCCGACCTCAATTCAAGCCCCGGGCCTGGCAGCGTTCTCTCTCTCTCTCTCTCTGGTCAATTAAAATAAATGAATAAAATAAAGTTAAATAAAATACTTTTTTGAAAAAGTCACAGGACCAGTATGAAAGAAATTTGCCTGCAGGTTATATGAATGTGTGTGGTGCCAATTCAGATGTATGCTGGTAATGGTACTCAACTGCAGTATGTCTATAAGAAACACTTCTAAAACTTAAAAAGTAAACATAGCTCTACAAATGATTCTGATGTAAGACATCAGCAGCAAAAACACTGTACCTAGAGAAGAGAAATAAAGAGTACCGGCTCATTTCATGACTAATACATCACGAGAGCGCAAAATACACTGACAAACCAGTTTCTTCCAC